ATTGCAAAATCTCCATTCCCTCCCCATTCCTGGGGGAAGGATATTGCAAAATCTCCATTCCCTCCCCATTCCTGGGGGAAGGATATTGCAAAATCCCCATTCCCTCCCCACTCTGGGACCAGCCAGAGGTGGCATTTGTATTTGTATTTTAATTTTTTTTTATTGGTTAAAAAGTACAAACAGACATACAAACAATAAAACGTACGCAACAAATAAACATGAATCAAGTCTTTGCGACTTCTTTTTCAACTTGTTGCATCGATAGACTATATTTATATTTATACTTATGTATCTATATACTTATAGAAGAAGCTTTGGGATTAACTGTATGGTTGATTTCCTTAACTTTGGGTGTCTAGAATGCATGTCCAAAAAGTGTGGGACCTTGATGGCATGGTTTGTGGATGCCATCTTGACTTTTTTGACCTGCCCTGCAGATGCACTTGGGCTAAACGTTCTTTCCCAAGTGATCCACTCACTGAATTTACATCTCAAGCTGCAGGGCCAGCACATTACGTGAACACGTAACTTGTGGTTTGCAGCTTAAGCTGAAGTCGAATGTAGGCAGTTCATCTACAAAGATCTCTTCTAAGAAGTAAAGATGCTCAGATCACTGGACGTAGCCACCTTCGGCAACTGAAAGGAAATTTAATTTTGCCCCTCTGCCACATCCTGGCAGAGTGGGTGTCTGCAGCTCCGTTCTTTGAAAGCTGGCATTCTGTGGAACCAAGCAAAAGGGGACTTCTCTGCCCATCCCACCTGTCATGGCTCCATCTCTCCTATCCAAGCTTCATGAGCTGACAGCCTGACATTAGCAACGGGGAGAGGGAAGGGAGAGGGGAAGAGGGAACGATTGAACTATAAGGAAGAAGGGGGGAATGGAAGACCAGTTGAGCCTCAGATTACAGATTAACAGAGTTGGAAGGGACCTTGTAGATCATCTAGTCCAACCCCGCACCCAAGCAGGGGACCCTACACTTTTTTTGCGCACTCCGGCCCCCAACGTGTGACTCGTGTCCTGGGTTGTGTAGAGCCTCAGGCCCAGGGTCCGCGGCTGATGTTATGTAATGCCAGGTCGGTAGTTAATAAGGCCCCCCTCATCTGTGATCTTATTTTGGAGGGGGGTGCAGACCTGGCAGGTATTACGGAGACCTGGTTGGGCCAAGAGGGGGGGGGTCCCCCTCGTAGAGATGTGCCCGCCAGGTTTCCGTGCATTTCATCAGCCAAGGGCCCAGGGGAGGGGTGGGGGAGTGGCGGTGATCATTAGGGAGAGTCTTTGTCCGAGGGAGACCACTGTTCCTCAGATAGCCGGATGTGAGTCCCTTTGTGTGAAGTGGGGCCGTGGGGTGCAGATGGGTTTGCTGACTACGTACCTGGCTCCCTGCCACGTGGCAGCGACCCTGCCCGAGCTACTCGACGTCATTGCCGGGGTGGCGGTCGATACCCCCAGACTTATTGTCATGGGGGATTTCAACCTCCCATCCGCAGGTGAGGCATCAGAGGTGGCTCGGGAGTTCATGGCTTCCATGACGGCCTTGGACCTGACCCAGTTAGTTCAAGGCCCCACTCACATAGGGGGACACACTCTGGACCTGATTTTTATCTCTGGTCAGTGGTTGAATGATCTTGGTAGAGGGGACCTAGATATCAAACCCTTGTCATGGACAGATCATTCACTCCTTCAACTAGACTTTCCTACCGCCTCCCCCCACCGCAGGGAGACGGAACCGACCAGATGGTTCCGTCCCAGGTGCCTGATGGATCCCGAAAGGTTCCTGACGGAGCTTGGGCCGTTTCCTGAGACTCTAACACACGACTCGACTGAAGAGCTGGTGGCCGCCTGGGAAAGGGCGGCCGCTGGAGCTTTGGACCGCGTCGTGCCTTTGCGGCCTCTGACCCGATGCCGATCTCAATTAGCTCCTTGGTTCTCTGAGGAGCTGAGAGAGATGAAGCGTCGGAAAAGACGCCTAGAGAGCATTTGGAGGACTAGTCAATCCGATTCCGACCGGACACAGGTGAGGTCTTATATCAAGACCTACCTAGTGGCGATAAAAGCGGCAAAATCTAACCATTTTTCCGCTCTTATCACATCTGCAGAGAACCGCCCAGCTGCCCTGTTTAGGGTGACCCACTCCCTTCTTCGGGGGGGAGTGCGGGAAGATCCCTTGCAGGGTCGTGCTGAGGATTTTGTGCAATTCCTGCACGATAAAGTCGCTCGGATTCGGGATGGCTTGGACTCCGATTGGATGAGTCCACGGGAGGAGACCGGGGCAGGTCTTGAGAATGTTATCTGGGAGGAGTTTGATCCTGTGACTCCCGAGGATGTGGACAGGGTCCTGGGTAAGATTAGTGCCGCCACGTGTTTATTGGACCCGTGTCCCTCCTGGTTGGTACTGGCCTCCCGGGAGGTTACACGAGGCTGGCTCCAGGGGATTATAGGTGCTTCTCTGGGTGAGGGTGCCTTTCCTGCTGCCTTGAAAGAGGCAGTAGTGAGGCCCCTCCTCAAGAAGCCTTCCCTGGACCCGGCTGAATTAGCCAACTATCGTCCAGTCTCCAACCTTCGTTTTGTGGCGAAGGTTGTTGAGAGCGTGGTGGCACGACAACTTCCCCGGCACCTGGATGAAGCTATCTATCTAGACCCGTACCAGTCGGGCTTCAGGCGGGGGTACAGCACAGAAATGGCATTGGTCGCGTTGGTGGATGATCTCTGGAGGGCTCGGGACAGGGGTTGTTCCTCTGTCCTGGTCCTATTAGACCTCTCAGCGGCTTTTGATACCATCGACCATGGTATCATGCTGCAGCGGTTGAGGGGGTTAGGAATAGGGGGCACCGTTTTGCGGTGGTTCTCCTCCTTCCTCTCTGACCGCTCGCAGTTCGTGTTGGCAGGGGGGCAGAGGTCGACCTCGAGGCGTCTCGCATGGGGAGTGCCACAAGGGTCGGTCCTCTCGCCCCTCCTGTTCAACATTTATGTGAAGCCGCTGGGTGAGATCATCCGTGGTTTTGGGGTGAAGTGTCATCTGTACGCTGACGATACTCAGCTGTACATCTCCACCCCAGACCACCCCAACGATGCCCTTGATGTGATGTCCCGCTGCCTGGAGGCCGTGCGGGTCTGGATGGGGAGGAATAGGCTCAGGCTCAACCCCTCCAAGACCGAGTGGCTGTGGCTTCCGGCGCCCCGATATAGTCAGCAGGTGCCATCGCTGACTATTGGGGGTGAATCTTTGCCCCCCACAGAGAGGGCTCGCAATCTGGGTGTCCTCCTGGACGCACGGCTGTCTTTAGAAGAGCACATGACGGCCGTGGCCAGGGGGGCCTTTTATCAGGTTCGCCTGATTCGCCAGTTGCAGCCCTTTCTGGACCGGGACGCCCTGCGCACGGTCACTCACGCCCTTGTCACCTCCCGGTTGGACTATTGTAATGCTCTCTACATGGGGCTCCCCTTGAAGAGCACTCGGAGGCTCCAGCTGGTCCAGAATGCGGCCGCGCAGGTGGTTATGGGCGCAACCCGTTATGCCCATGTGACACCCCTCCTGCGCGAGCTGCACTGGCTCCCAGTGGTCTTCCGGGTGCGATTCAAGGTGCTGGTTACCACCTTTAAAGCGCTCCATGGCATAGGACCCGGGTACCTCCGAGACCGTCTTCTGCCACCAATAGCCTCCCACCGACCAGTTCGTTCCCACAGAGAGGGTCTCCTCCAGGTGCCATCGGCCAAGTTATGTCGGCTGGCGACACCCAGGGGGAGGGCCTTCTCTGTGGGAGCCCCAGCCCTGTGGAATGAACTGCCCCCGGAAATTCGTAAGATCTCCGACCCCCGGGTGTTTCGCTGCGCATTGAAGACCCTGTTGTTCCGCCAGGCCGGACTATCAACACAATAGTTTTAAATTGGGGTATTTAAATTTATTGGGGTTTTAAATTTGAGCCACTTATTTAATTATTTTAAATTTTATATCATTGTTTTGTCTGTGTTTTTAAATAGGCTGTACACCGCCCTGAGTCCTTCGGGAGAAGGGCGGTATAGAAATAAAATTATTATTATTATTATTATTATTACACCGTTTCTGACAGAAGGCAGTCCAGTCTCTTCTTGAAAGCCTCCAGTGATGAAGCTTCCACAACTTCTGAAGGCAACTTCTGTTCCATGGGTTGGTTGTTCTCACTGTCAGAAAATTTCTCCTTATTTCTAGGTTGAATCTCTCCTTGTTCAGTTTCCATCCATTGTTCCTTGTCTGGCCTTCAAGGTGCCTTGGAGAATAGCTTGACCTCCTTCCTCCTCTCTGTGGCAGCCCCTCAAATATTGGAAGACTGCTATCATGTCTCCCCTGGTCCTTCTCTTCACTAGACTAGCTATGCTCAGTTCCTGCAACCGTTCATCGTATGTTTTAGCCTCCAGTCCCCTAATCCTCTTGGTTGCTCTTCTCTGCACTCTTTCTAGAGTCTCCACATCTTTTTTATAGTGTGGTGACCAAAATTGGATGCAGTACTCTAGCTGTGGTCTTACTAAGGTTTTATAGAATGGTGTTAGTACCTCACTTGATCTTGATTGTATCCCTCTGTTAATGCAATTTAGGATTGTGTTGGCTTTTTTGGCTGCTGCTGCACACTGTTGGCTCATATTTAGCTGGCTGTCCACTAAGACTCCAAGAAACCTCTTATAGTTACTGCTATTAAGCCTGGTTTCCCTCAATCTATATTTGAGAAGCTTCAGGCACCTGTTTCCTAAACAATATATAAGCAACTAATTGGACATTTATAGATAACCAGGGGAGGGGGGAGATGGCAGGAAGGGGGGAAGAGGAAAATTTACTTCGTATTGTTTACGAAGAGAACCTTAGATTCAGCTTCGCTACTTCTGTAATCACCTAAGCTTCAGTAAAGTCTACTCTTGGCAAAAATGAATGGTGGGCTGCTGACGGTTTGGATTGGTTCGGCCAATCCACCTGGTTGGCCCCGTCCACCTGCCCCTGCCCTATCCTGTCCTATATTTCCATGTTTTTCAGCTCAGCTGATTCGCGAGGCCCAGCGGATTGCCGTGCCTCAGCTGTTTTACTCACTGGCGCTGCAGTAGAAGGTAAATTTTAGAGCTTAAAATGGGTGGGTTTTGAATGCTGCGTGCGTGCGTGCCCGAGAAGTGCAAATGCATGTGCAAAGCACACGTTCACCAAACTGGTTGTTAAACCAGTTGCAGCCAACCACTGGCCAGGAGTCTTTCTTTGCTGGATGACTGAGTGAGATGGTTGACACCACCCACCAGAACACTCTCCCATCAGAGATATGCATGGTACCAGTGGTGGGTTGCTCCTGGTTTCGTCCGGTTCTTGCGAACCGGTAGTAACGGCGGTGGGAGGCTCTGCCCTCCTGTCCGGATATCATCATGAATGATCTGCACATATGCAGAAGCGCATGTGCATGCTCCTATTGCGAACCAGTAGTGGAGGTAAGTAGAACCCACCCCTGCATTGTACCCAGCTGTGAAATCCTCCCTGGTTCTATCCGTCTCACCGAACTGATAGCGCCGGCGGCGGGAGACTCCTCCCACCCACTGGGATGTCATCACATCGCTTTTCTTACCATCTGCGCATGCTCCCATGCGCTCCCGTTCCTGAGCCGGTAGTGAAGGTAAGTGGATTTCACCGCTGATGGTACCCACTCATCTGGGGAACTGGAGAATTCTTAAAACCTGGCTAGGGTCCCAGGCACGCCTGGGGTAAATGAATGAGTGTAATATTTAAAGTTAAATTGTCAAAACAGGGCTGTCCAACCTTGGCAACTTTAAGACCTGTGGACTTCAGCTCTCAGAATTCCCCAGCCAGCGGCTGGGGAAATTCTGAGAGCTGAAGTCCACAGGTCTTAAAGTTGCCAAGGTGGGACTCTCCAGAGTGAAAATGTGGCTTTGTGGTGTTGTGTAGGGTGCTCAGAGCAGCAAGAAAGGTGTTGTTCCTTCGGGGGTTGGACTAGAAGACCTCCTAAATTTATCTCGGTTCTTTTTCCACAGCTGTTTGGAGTGGGCTACGTGATGCAGCAATGGATTCTCGAATATGCCTTTGCTTTTTTGCCTGCTGGGTTTTTGTGAATTCTACATCAGGTAAAAGACCTTGGTGGGCTAAGCAGAAAGAGGCGGAGTTCTGATTTCTTTGCAAGGGTTTTGCCTCAGAACTGCAGTGGGTTGTTGAGGATGCTTCCATGGTGGCTAGTTAATCCATGGTTTGATGTATTTATCTCTCCAAAGCACCTGAGGGCAGGACAAGAAGCAATGGGTGGAAACTAATTAAGGAGAGAAGCAGGGGTGAAATCCAGCAGGTTCTGACAGGTTCTGGAGAAACGGTAGCGGAAATTTTGAGTAGTTTGGAGAACCGGCAAATACCACCATTGGCTGGCCCCAGGAGTGGGGAGGGAATGGGGATTTTGCAATATCCTTCTCCAAGCCAAGCCCACCAAGCCACGCCCACAGAACCTGTAGTAAAAATTTTTGGATTTCACTGGTCCAGTTGCCTCTTGAGAAAGCATCTTTGGGCCAGCTTTGAAGGCCTTTAATCTCACTTGGAGATGACCAACAGTTCTGTTGCTGTCCAGATCTTCAAACTTTTTTTTTTTTTTTAAATTTTGATTTATATGCCGCCCTTCTCTGGAGACTCAGGGCGGCTTACAGTGCGTTAAGCAATAGCCTTCATACTTTTGTATATTTATACAAAGTCAGCTTATTGCCCCCACAATCTGGGTCCTCATTTTACCTACCTTAGAAAGGATGGAAGGCTGAGTCAACCTTGAGCCTGGTGAGATTCGAACCTGCAGAAATTGCAGGCAGCTGTGTTAATAACAGGGTGCATTAAACCACTGTACTACCAAGGCTCCTTTCTGTTTATGCTGATCTTGTGATGCTAATGGGGATTCTTTCTTTCTCCTTTCTGCTACTTCTTCTTTCCCACGTTCTGTGCTGCCCCTGCTGTTGTTAGCGCCCAACAAAGAAGTAGATGTGACTGCAGCTATGGAGAACTATGAAGGGCACATAGACTCAGGATGCGCTTCCAACGAGACAAGGAAGTAGGTTCTTATTATTTGCACTTTTTATGTTATAAAAATGAGGGGGAAGAAGTTTGCCTTTTGACCAGTCTATATACAGTAGCTTCAAGGAAGCCACCTGAAAAAATCTGCAATTGTATCATTTTGGTGGGGGAACCTGGGATCCTGTGCTGTCCCACTCATTCATTCACACACGCATGTAACCGTGGTTTGGTGGGCTTATTAATATTCCACAGCAATTCCATTCACCAAAACCCCAAAACCAGGGGTGAAATGCTCCTGGTTCGGACCGGATCGCCTGATCTGGTAGCGATGGTGGCGGGTGGTTCGGAGAACTGGTAGCAAAAATCCCTGCCCCCCCCACATGCCCAGCTGAGCCGCGCGATCATCAGAGGTTTTTTTATTTTTATTTTTAAAAGCATTTTTTTTTACAACCTCTTTGGCCGAAAAAAATGCTTTTAAAAGTAAAAAAAAAAAAGCCTCTGATGATCGTGTGGCTCAGCTGGGATCGTCAGAGGCTTTTAAAAGCATTTTTTCTACAACCCCTTCGCCTTCGGCCAAAGAAGTTGTAGAAAAAAATGTTTTTAAAAGAAAAAAAAAAGCCTCTGACGATCAGGCAACTCAGCTGGGATCGTCAGAGGCTTTTAAAAGCATTTTTTAAACAACCTCTTTGGACGAAGAGGTTGTAGAAAAAATGCTTTTAAAAGGTTTTTTTTAAAAAAAAAAGTTGGCCACGCCCACTCAGTCACATTAACCCCCCCCCCACCAAGCCACGCCCACAGAACCCTGTGGTAACAAATTTTACATTTCACCACTGCCCAAAACTGTCCCAATTAAATCCAGCCACAAGCAGACCAGGACAGGAAGGCCTGGAGGAACGTTGTCCATGGGGTCACGATGGGTCGGACACGACTTCGCAACTAACAACAACAACAACACAAGCAGACCGATGCTAGTCTAAAGAGTCCACAAGGCACTTGGAAGTTTCTCAAACAAGATAAACCCACCAGGCAGAATTAAATCCACAACACAAGAGGATTCACAAGGCAACAAAAGTCCAGCGTTCACTAGGCACCGTCCAAAGTCAAGGCAGGAATCTTAACAACCAGAAAACACACAGCTATGAAGTGAAAGGGTTGTAGCTCTGCTTTGGAAACAGTCTGAAATTGTACAGGATCTTCTGCTTGAGCAGGGGGTTGGACTAGAAGTCCTCCAAGGTCCCTTCCAGTTCTATTCTGATCGATTGAACTAATAAGTACCAAATTGCTGGTATATCCAAGTGGAGCTGTCATAAACTCTGGTCTCCAACTGTGGACAGCATGTTATGTCTATATTTAATTTCAGCTTAATGCAGCACTTCCTACCATGCATTCTAAATATATCAGATTTCCAGCTTCTGACTTTTAAGCAGTCTTTCAAAGTCTGAATGCATGAAGAACTCTGAATGTATGAATATATAATTTCTGAATATTTATCAGAGGAAAAGAAGGACTTTCGGGGATATACGTGATGGAAGTTAGATGTTCTAGAAAACGTTTTTAATGGAAACCATAGAAGAAGTTTAACCTACACAGAGAAAACAACTATTTAGTCCAGTGCCTTTCAACCTTGGTGACTTTAAGAAATATGGACCAACTCTCAGAATTTGCCAGCCAGCAGGAACTCTGGGACTAGAAGTTCACCCATCTTCAACTTCTCAAGTTTGAGAAACACTGCTGTAGAGCAATAAATCCTGCCAAAAAAAGTGTGTATAGTCAAGGCGATGGTTTTCCCAGTTGCAATGGAAGGCTGTGAAAGTTGGTCCATAAGGAAGGCTGAGCACCAAAGAATGGAGGCCTTTGAACTCTGGTGCTGGAGAAGACTCCTGTGAGTCCCTTGGACTGCAAGGCGATCCAACCGGTCAGTCCTAGAGGAGATCAGCTCTTTAGAAGGCCAGATCCTGAAGAGGAAACTCAGATACTTTGGCCACCTAATGAGAAAGGAAGGACTCACTGGAGAAGAGCCTAATGCTGGGAAAGACTGAGGGCAAAAGAAGAAGAGGACGGCAGAGAACGAGGTGGCTGGATGGAGTCACTGAAGCAGTTGGTGTGAGCTTAAATGGACTCCAGAGGATGGTAGAGGACAGGAAGGCCTGGAGGAATGTTGTCCATGGGGTTGCGATGGGTCGGACATGACTTCGCAACTAACAACAACAACAACAACAACAACAACAACAAAGAGTAATAAAATACAAGAGATGCTTATTTTCTCTAGCTGATGACATGTTGGATCATCTCTAGGTTTACGTTAAATTCATGCTATAAATTATTTAATCTGAAGACTGACTATTGAGTTGCACCAGAGTATATTCCATTTATAAGGCCTATGGTTTCCACTTTGCTTGTTTTTATAGAGTCCTAAAGAACTTGGAGACGGCCTTGCTGAAAGTCCATTTACAGAGGGACAATCTCATTACTGTTCACTCTAATATTCAAACATTAATATACACTAAATTTGAAGGGTTAACGATCAACAGTGAGGATTTTTTAGTAAGTATTTTTTTTCCTTTTCCACACTATCTGTCTAATTCTGTGTTTCTCAATTTGGACAACTAGTAGATGTATGGACTTCAATTCCCAGAATTCCCCAGGCAGCCTATGCCTGAATTCTAGGGGTTGAAGCCTACCCATCTTAAATATTGTCAAGATTCAGAAACAGTGGTTTAGTTATTTGATCCATCTTGAATAGAAAAGTGGGGTGGAGGAAGGATGTTTAGTGCTACCCTATATACTTCTCCTCTGAATTACCCTGTTTTTGTTCACACATACAGCCTGGATTCACACAAAATGCTAAATCCTGCACTATTATGTGTCTAAATAGCATGCTACTACATCCACATTAAACTATTATCATTAATGTGATTAACATTAATGTGATTTATTATCATGAAAGACAAGTTCCCCCAAGGCATGCTAAGATAGCAATAGCCCTTAGACTTATATACTGCTTCACAGTGCTTTCCAGCCCTCTCTAAGAGGTTTACAGAGTCAGCCTCTTGCCCCCAACAATCTGGGTCCTCATTTTACCCACCTCGGAAGGATGGAAGGATGAGTCAACCTCTTTTGAGCCAGTGAGAGTCGAACTCCTGGCAGTGGGCAGAGTTAGCCTGCAATACTGCATTCTAACAGGAAGGAAGGAAGGAAGGAAGGAAGGAAGGAAGGAAGGAAGGAAGGAAGGAAGGAATATAGCAATACCATTTAAGACTTATATACTGCTTCACAGTGCTTTCCAGCCTTCTCTAAGCGGTTTACAAAGTCAGCCTCTTGCCCCCAACAATTTGGGTCCTCAATTTACTGACCCCGGAAGGATGGAAGGCTGAGTCAACCTCTTGAGCCAGTGAGAATCGAACTCCTGGAAGTGGGCAAAGTTAGCCTGCAATATTGCATTCTAACAGGAAGGAAGGAAGGAAGGAAGGAAGGAAGGAAGGAAGGAAGGAAGGAAGGAAGGAAGGAAGGAAGGAAGGAATATAGCAATACCATTTAGAGTTATATACGGCTTTACAGTGCTTTACAGCGCCCTCTAAACGGTTTACAGAGTCAGCCTCTTGCCCCCAACAATCTGGGTCCCCATGTTACTGACCTTGGAAAGCTGGAAGGCTGAGTCAAACTTGAGTCTGGTGAGATTCGAACTGCCAAATTGCAGTCAACCGGCAGTCAGCAGAAGTAGCCTGCAGTACTGCACTCTAACCACTGCGCCACCACAGCTCATCGTAATAACCAATACTGGCTATTACGTTCCTATTGTCAGCCTTGGAAGCCATATTAGGCCAAATGCCTGCTTCCGTGTCTTTACTGGGAGTTGGGGGTTTTCTGGAACGCTGACATTTATGCTGATCCACAGTGACCCAACCTAATTTCATTCTTATGCAGTCATGATGGAATTGCAGACACAGAGTTTTAAATCTTGTGAATTGGGGATGCAAAGGGGAAAGTCTAATATATTGGAGGCAGCATCGTTGATGATAATTTGCATAAATGCCTGTTTCATGCCTCATTGCAGGATCCTGATGCTTCGAGACAGAGCCGGCATTCCATGTATTTTCCAAAAAGGTTCTTGAAGAATATCCAACCGACCCCGGCAAAGGAGATAAGGCTCATCTGCATTTACCTGAAAGCTTCTTGCCTCTTTCAGGTAGGCCATTGCTGCAACTTGCAGGAGGTGACAGAGGTGGGGATTTGCCATAGAGTGTCAATCATCAATAATCTGACATTTTCTAGGTTTGGAGATAGAAAATATCCAGGGCTTCCTCACTCCATTTTGGCAGAAATTGATGATGCTCTTGAGTTTATACGAAAGGCTTCAAAATGCACGGATGCCGTTGTTGTAGAGGGATATAGGGATAGCCTTCAAGAAAGAATTCAACTGTTCTGTCCCCGTCCCACACGCACACACACCAACAGACATTCCAGAGTTAAAGACCAAACCAGCCGGCAAAATCCTTTTCCTTATGATAACAGAACTTGGCAACAACCTAGTGGCTGCCTGCCAAGAGTTTATTACTTACGAAGAGGAGAGATAACTTCTCCCCACTCCTGGTACATCAAAAGAAACAGCTCAATCATTACGGAGTCAATCAAGTCCAGAGATAATCCAGCAAAGTCTATAGCAAAAAGTCCGGCAATGCAGAATGGCGTGAAAGCTTTCAGCTTTGTTCGTCACAAGGTTTGACTGGCTACCACGCTCCCTTTTATACCTTGTGGGGTGTGGTCCAGTGACTCAGCCTAATCTCGGGCACGCCTTTTCTTCTGTTGCGCGCGCTTATCTCTGCGACGCTGGCATGGATCCAGCCAAGACTCATTACCCTCATCACTGTCCATCTGTGGCTGTGTGGATGTGCTTGGCCCCGGCCCTATCTCTTGCCCTTCAGTGGACACCGAAGGCATTGCCAGAGAGGAGGGTCCTGGACAGGGAGGCCTTGCCAACTACTCTCCTTCACTCTCGGAGTCCTCGCCTGCCGATGACACAGGCTCAGATAACAGAGCCACAACATTAACAGCTGTTTATATTGGTCTATGACTGAATAAAGATTTGATGGGATTGATTAGTGGCTGTTATCAGAGGTGGGCTTCACAAATTTTAGCAAGGGGTTCTCTGCCCAGTTGTTGGGTGGGCATGGCCATGGTGGGCGTGGCCTAGTTAGGGGTAGTGTTTTTGCCCTCCCTAGGCTCCAGAGGCTTTCCTTGAGCGTCCGGGAAGATGAAAACAGCCTCCCCAGGCTCCGGAGGCCCGAACCTCCGGTAAGCCTGTTTTCCAACCTTCCCGAGCCTCTGTGCACGCCCTGCACTTATCTGCATCCAAAACGGGCCGCGTGGGGACTCCTGGGAAGGGCGGGGTGGGGTGGGCGGGGCCAGCCAGAAGTGGGATTTGGGGATTCTCTGAACTGCACAGAATCTTAGCTAGAGGTTCTCCCGAACCCCTGTGAACCCCCAGCAGCCCCCTCCCTGGCTGTTATGTAGATACATGCTTAATTTTGGATGGGAGGAGAGGTTAAGGAAGAAGCTCAGGGCTGCCCTGTCTTGATTTCATTGAGTATAAGAGATGGGTTTTTGCTATTGTAACTCATAACCTAGAAAATGAATTTTAATTGGGTGTTTGTAGTTTTTAATATAATGGCCAAATTTTTTAATATATTTTAAATTGTTTTTAAATTCTGTGGGTATATGTTGTTTTAATATGGCTGTACACCGCCCTGAGTCCTTCAGGAGAAGGGCGGTATAAAAATTAATTAATTAATTAATTAATTAATTAATTAATTAAATAATTAAATAATTAAATAAATAAATAAATAAATAAATAAATAAATAACCATACATAGAGTTCCAGGGGTCCTTGTGCTGCCTGTTTTCTGACAATTAACCACAAACATCTTAGGACACAATGATGGGCCTGTAACAAAGGAGTAAGATACCTTTGATTTTTTTAAAAAAATTATTTATTTATTTTTATATGCCGCCCTTTTCCGGAGACTCAGGGCAGTTTACAATGCGTTAAGCAATAGCTTTCATACTTTTGTATATTTTTATACAAAGTCAGCTTATTGCCCCCACAAACCAGGTCCTCATTTTACCTACCTTAGAAAGGATGGAAGGCTGAGTCAACCTTGAGTCTGGTGAGAATTGAACTTGCAGTAATTGCAGGCAGCTGGATGTTAAATGCTGCCTTAGTAGGAGGCATTAGTCTCCTACGCCACTCAGTCTCAGTCAGATTTGTTTTAACTTTGGTCAAATTTTTGTGGCAAATCAACTCATTTGATGAGCGTATGGTTCGGTCCCATCCCTACAAGTAACTTAATTTAGGAGCTAATTTAAGAACGACTAAATCCAGCCTATGTCTGGTTGGTTTACTAATAAACAACCCAGATTCAGTTTACCTAAACTTGATTCATTTATTTGATATCACTTTCTTCTTTGACCAAAGTTGGAAACTGAGAATCTGCTAATAATGAAGAAAATCCCAATTTTTCCTACTTTGCTGCATGGAGAAAGACAGTTCAGACATGATAACTATAACCAGCAACACCTTGTTTAAAATTCATTTGGCCGTGTGGCCAAAACAGGTTCTCTATTCTTAATTCAAGTGTCAAACTAGGATAAGAGATACAAGACCCTCACTTAGCCAAAACCTTTCTGTTTGAGCTTATAGTATATTCTAAACCAAGGGTCTGCAACCTTAAATACTCAAAGAGCCATTTGGACCTGTTTCCCACAAAAAAGAAAACACTGGGAGCCACAAAACCTGGGTGGGCGTGGCCAACTCGATATCACTCATTTCCACCAGTCACATGACTTCCCCCCCAGCCATGCCTACCAAGCTGGTCATTAGGGCAGAGAACCAGTTGTTAAAAAACACCGGAAACCACAAAATCCTTTTGACATCTCTCTCTCTCCCCTCCCTCCCTCCCTCCCCCCCTCTCTCTGTATCTCTCTATGTCTCTCTCTCTCTCTCTCTGTCTCTGTCTCTCTCTCTCTCTCTGTATCTCTCTATCTCTGCCCTGGCCGCTTCTCCATCCCCCACTGTCGCCCTTACTTTCTCAGGCCAGGCAAGGAGTGACTCAGTGGTGGGTTCCTCCCGGTTCGGTCCGGTTCGGCCGAGCCGGTAGCGGTGACGATATGACATCACCGAACCGGTTCTCCCCCCTCCCACCCCCCCACCCCCCACGTTATTCTTACCTTTTATTTGGTCCCACCCCCAATCTATTGCTGCCTCCTGAGTCCCAACTGATGCCTAGAGGGAAAGAAACTGTTTAAACTCTTGCCGCGGGGCTTCAAAGGGCCTCCTACAGCTGATCAGTGTTAAAAGCAAACAAATGAGTCAGGTCGTAAGTGCGAGGACTGGTCGTAAGTGCGAGAACTTTCCAGAAATGACTCTGACTAGCTAGCCACGCCCACCTAGTCACATGACCTCCAAGCCACACCCACAAAACAAGCCACGCCCACAGAACCGGTAGTAAAAAAAATTAGAACCCACCCCTGGAGTGAGGGCAAGGGGAGGGGCCAGCCAGTGGTGGGATCACCTGACAGGGAGCCACAGCAGAGGGCCCAAAGAGCCGCATGTGGCTCCAGAGCTGCAGGTTGCTGACCCCTGTTCTAAACCCTACATGGGATAGCAAAACACACCTGACCTGTTTACAGAGCATGTGATGCAGAAGCAAACCATGGCTTAAGGAAGTGGCCTGGTTCACCTAACATACTAAGTCAAAGCTCAGAACCTAGAATATACTGAACCCTTGTTCTTCCTCCAATTTGTAATTTAATAAATAATTGCATATCCTCTTAATTAATTTTTAATCTGTTCCCATTAGAATCTGGTCTAGCTCATTTGGTTCGTTATAAAACCCATATTCCTGCCTATCTTTTTCGTACCTGGATTGTATCTGCAACTGTGGCCACCATGATGGGTCAATCCCTAATCTTTTTAGTTCTTGTTTTGTTTTTAGTTATCCCTTTTCATTTAATATGTCCTTGTATCCTATAATTTTATTCATATTTATGACATTAGGATATATCCATGCCTCCATTATAGATAATCAAACTAGCACTTTCAAGTACTTGAGAATATAAAGGTAAAGGTTCCCCTTGCACATATGTGCTAGTCGTTCCTGACTCTAGGGGGCGGTGCTCATCTCCGTTTCAAAGCCGAAGAGCCAGCGCTGTCCGAAGACGTTTCCGTGGTCATGTGGCCGGCATGACTCAATGCCGAAGGCGCACAGAACGCTGTTACCTTCCCACCAAAGGTGGTCCCTATTTTTCTACTTGCATTCTTTACATGCTTTCGAACTGCTAGGTTGGCAGAAGCTGGGACAAGTCACGGGAGCTCACCCCGTTATGGAGCACTAGGGATTCGAACCGCTGAACTGCTGACCTTTCGATCGACAAGCTCAGCATCTTAACCACTGAGCCACCACATCCCTTGAACCTTAAATGACCTGATTCTATTTTAATTTAGTTTAATGCATGTCTCTTCCTCGTCTTTCAGGATAGACAAAACAGCTCCTTGCTGAGTGGTGACATCATAGGACTGAGTCTTGGGGACATGAGTGTCACCAACCTCCGTGAACCTGTGGAAATCAGGTTTTGGCATAATTATTCATTGGTGAGTAGTGATGCTGCCATGGGCTTCATCCCTTAATAGATCTTAGCGCTTAGATAGAATGAAAGTTCCCAAAAGAGAGCAGATGTTAAGTCATGTTCAAGGAGACCTCATTGCATCAGACCTAATCTTCAGATATTTAGAACAGCCACAAGATCAGGATTTATGCAGTTGATGGATCAATCTACTGTTTGCTTCTCTGATACAGGTGAGGTAGTGCTGGATTAGAATAGAATAACAGAGTTGGAAGGGACCTTAGAGGTCTTCTAGTCCAACCCCCTGCTTAGGCACGAAATCTATACCATTTCAGACAAATGGTTATCCAACGTCTTCTTACAAACTTCCAGTGTTGGAGCATTTACAACTTCTGGAGGCAGGTTGTTCCACTGATTAATTCTTCTAACTGTCAGGAAATTCCTCCTTAGTTCGAGGTTGCTTCTCTTCTTGATTTGTTTCCACCCATTGCTTCTTGTCTTGCCCTCAGGTGCTTTAGAGAATAGCTTGTCCGGGTTAGTTCAGTGCAATACTTGTTTTGCAGCCGTCTTTCGTGGTATTCTTTTCAAATTTGGATACTGTCCTATTTGTAAACAAATTACTAGTCTACATGGATAGATTGTTTACCTAGAGTCTCTAGTCTCCGCTCTTTAAGCAGAAATTAGGTACCCAATTCAGCCATTCTGCTCTATTGAGCTGCCCCCCATCACCCCCTCTACCACAAAGATCCTGCAGGAGAAGGGCAGTATGGACAACCGTGGGAGCTGGCAGAGTGAGGGCCGTGAACCCCAAACACAAAGCTTCCGCTGTGTCCCCATGTAACAGAGCTGGTTTTGCCTTCAATAGTGCCGAAATGATGTGCTCAATAAAGTTTTGCACTGAGACATTGGCAGATCTCGAATGTGCTTGCTTTAGTTGCGCTCGTCAGTCAGGACTTGGAGATATAGAATATAGAATAACGGAGTTGGAAGGGGCCTTGGAGGTCTTGTAGTCCAACCCACGGCTGATCATCAACATTTCTCTTGTTTTCTAAGAAGAAGACACAAAAGATGCACTCAGATGATTCACTGAATGACTGATTATGTATTGCATGTTTGTTTGTCTATAAAATAAAAAACATTTCTCTCGTTTTCTCTCTTAACCATTCTAGGATAATTTCAGCATGACCTGCGTATTTTGGGAGGAAGGAACAGGTAATGTCAAAATGTAAACCAAGCTCAGAGAGTGTTCTGTCCCCGTCCCACACGCACACACACCAACAGACGTTCAAGAGTTAAAGACTAAACCAGCCGGCAAAATCCTTTTCCTTATGATAATGGAACTTGGCAACAACCTAGTGGCTGCCTGCCAAGAGTTTATTATTTACAAAGAGGAGAGATAACTTCTCCCCGCTTCTGGTACATCAAAAGAAACAGCTCAATAATTACAGAGTCAATCAAGTCCAAAGATAATCCAGCAAAGTCTATAGCAAAAGTCTGGCAATGCAGAATGGCGTGGAAGCTTTCAGCTTTGTTCGTCACAAGGTTTGACTGGCCACCACGCTCCCTTTTATACCCTGTGGGGTGTGGTCCAGTGACTCAGCCTAATCTCGGGCATGCCTTTTCTTCTGTTGCGCGCGCTTATCTCTGTGACACTGGCATGGATCCAGCCAAGACTCATCTCCCTCATTACTGTCCACCTGTGGCTGCGTGGACGTGCTTGGCCCTGGCCCTATCTCTTGCCCTTCGGCGGACACTGAAGGCATTGCCAGAGAGAAGGGTCCTGGAGAGGGAGGCCTTGCCAACGCCTCTCCTTCACTCTCGGAGTCCTCTCCTGCCGATGACACAGGCTCAGGTAACGGAGCCACAACAGAGAGCACCAACGACTCTACATTGCAATTATTTTTTGTCTACCTTTCCTGCCTCCTTTTTTCCTTTAATAGTGACCCCCGTTCCATCTCTCCTATCCTTATTTCTATACTCACTTGGCCACCTGGAAGTACAGGGACTCCTGCTTGAGCAGGGGGTTGGACTGGAAGACCTCCAAGGCCCCTTCCCATTCTATGACTCTGTAATTCTGTAACTTTGCATCTATACTTTGGCAATATCTTTCTGAGGAAGAACTGACTCGAAGGAGTCTGATCACACCTTTTCCAACTAATGTATTTTATTAAAAAGCATATGTTTTTTAATGAGGTGTACATTACTCTGACAGATGCATGCAGGGGACGGCTGCTGGGAGTTTTCTAGCTACAATTCTGTGCAGTTTGGGGAACCCCCAAATCCCACTCCTATAGTAAAAATTTTGGAAACCCACCACTGTGTTGCGTGTGATGTGAGACGCATGCGCTCTGCACAGGGGTATTGTTTTGAGAGAGTGTGCCATGCGCCAGTGGCTTTGTCTACTTCTTACCGAAACACGACACAGCACACAGGCACGCATTAGACTCATTGTTGCAATGAGTAAAATGTTTCTTTTATTTACGGTATTTTTTTCTTCAATTTATTTGTGTCCTCCTTCTCATTGTAAAAAAGTTGATCACCTTACTAACTTAACAACTTCAACGAACCACTTAACAACTGGGGCAAGAAATGTTGTAAGATGGAGCAAAACTCACTTAACAACAGAAATTTGGGGCTAAATTGTGGTCGTAAGCTGAGGACAAACTGTATTGTGCATTCTCTAAAAAAAGAGCCCAAGACAGGCTGCTGTAGCTATTTTTCTTGAGCAGGGATTTTTCTTGTTTCTCTCCAGGAAAGGACAACCTGGGGGAATGGAGAACAGAAGGCTGTAAAACCAACGCCAGCCAGGACAGTGTCCTCTGCCAGTGCAACCATCTGACCTATTTTGCTGTTCTTCTGGTAAGCCTGTTGCTCTTCAGGTCTCTGGTGCATCAACTCCTTCTTGAGAAGGTGTTCTGGAAAATTATTTATTTATTTGTCAAGAACATATTGGGTAATTTATATAATTATAAGCATGAATTGAATCATAAAATGAATACAATTAAAGAGAACATTAGGACAGGGACGGTAGGCACGCTTATGCACGCCCCTTACAGACCTCTTAGGAATGGGGTGAGGTCAACAGTAGACAGTCTTAGGTTAAAGTTTTGGGGGTTTGGGGATGAAACCACAGAGTCAGGTAGTGCATTCCAGGCGTTGACCAGTCTGTTGCTGAAGTCGTATTTTCTGCAGTCGAGTTTGGAGCAGTTCACTTTAATTTGTATCTATTATGTGTATTGTTGTGGTTGAAGCTGAATTAGTCCAGGGGTGGGTTCTACTTACCTTTACTACTGGTTCGCAACGGGGCCATGGGGAATCATGGATGGAAACTGACCAAGGAGAGATTCAACCTGGAAATAAGGAGGAATTTTCTGACAGTGAGAATAATCAACTAGTGAAACAGAAGTTGCCTTCGAAAGTTGTGGGAGCTTCATCCCTGGAGGCTTTCAAGAAGAGACTGGACTGCCGTCTGTCAAAAATGGTGTAGGGTCTCCTGCTTGAGCTGGGGGTTGGACTAGATGACCTACAAGGTCCCTTCCAACTCTGTTAGCGGTTAAAATCTATTATTCAATGTTCTAACACATTGTTAAAGGTAGCGAATCCTTCCCTGTTGACCATGTTCCTTGGCCGGATACGACGGTATCTAAAAGATGTGTAGGTCCAGGTCACGTTTCATCAATCTCAGATCGTGTGGTCTGTGCTGACGGGGGATAATGGAGGTTGCAGTGGAGGACAGGAGTTTATTACGTATGCAAGAAATACCACACTTTGTAATTGGCTCTGCCATTTCTTCTTTCTCCCCTTATTCAGCAACTGTCTTCAGAGCCTCTGGATGAAAAGCTACTGGTCCCTTTGACCTACCTCAGTGACATTGGCTGTGGGGTCTCAGCGTCGGCTTGTTTCATCACCATCTTCTTATACCTTTTCACCAGGTAACCACGGAATCCTTTCAGGGCCAGAGGAAGATTCTCCCAGGCACAATGATATTGCAGGACACAGAGAAACAAGGATATGTCAGTTTATGGCTTTAATTTCTTGGATGCTCCGTAGGGTCATCTTACTGAGATGGGCAACTGCCTACTTGTTTAAACCAGAGGTCTTCAAACTTGGCAGCTTTAAGACTTGTGGACTTCATCTCCCAGAATTCTCCAGCCACCTAAGATGGCTGGAGAATTCTGGGAGTTGAAGTCCACAAGCTAAGCTGGCTGGAGAATTCTGGGAGTTGAAGTCCACAAGTCTTAAAGCTGCCAAGTTTGAAGACCTCTGGTTTAAATAATTTAAAGTAATTTAATTTAGAAAAGGAAAACAAATGAAGATACAGATAGTCCTCAACTTACACCAGTTCATTTAGTGACTGTTCAAAGTTATGCCGGCCCTGAAAAAAGGAATTTAGGACCGTTTTTCACACTTATGACCGTTGCAGCATCCCCATGGTCACGTGATTTACATTCAAGTGCTTTGACAACTGACTCACATTTATGACGGTTGCAGTGTCCTTGGGTCACGTGATCCCCCCTTTGCGACCTTCTGAAAAAGCAAGTCAATGAGGAAACCAGATTTACTTAACAACCTGGTTACTAATATAACAACTGCGGTGATCCACTTATCAACTGTGGTAAGACAAGTGTTGTGGCCTGTCGGCTGCTGACCCTTCCAGCAGATGAATCAGAGGAGGAGGAGGAGGAGTGGGAGTCAGGGTCAGCCTCAAGGCAACCTGGGAGCTCCGAGGGGGAAGAGGGCATGGAGCTGGCAGAGAGAGAGAGAGAGAGGCGGAGCCAGGGCCGTCCGTCAGCCCTCAGATGGAGAGTCAACAGCCCCCAGGTCTGGAGGTGGCTGATGAGGAAGAGGAGGAATAGCTGGGTCCAGTGCCTGATGCGCAGAAGGCAGAGGAGAGGAGAGCAGTGGAAATCTATGGGCCGGTCCTTGGGATGGAAGAGCCACTGCTGCAAGCGAAGCCTTACCCCAGCTCTGGGGATAAAAGGCAGCGGGCGGAGATGAATAGGTGTGGCAGACAACTATTCATCTCCCTGCTGGACAGACTTGTTAGCCTGAGGTGAGAGAGAAACTTTTTGCCCGGGCTGTTGGCGCTCCTAATAAAGGAATCATCGCTTCAACTACAGAGGGTTTGTCATGTTTGGGGAGCTGGGACAGAACAACAAGTCATAAAATGGGGCAAAACCAGTGGTGAAATCTAAAATTTGTTACTACCGATTCTGTGGGCGTGGCTTGGTGGGGAGGTAATGTAACTGGGTGGGCGTGGCCAATTTTTTGTTTTACTTTTAAAACGATTTTTTCTACAACCTCTTCGGTGAAGAGGTTGTAAAAAAAATGCTTTAAAAAGCCTTTGACGATCCCAGCAGAGCCGCGCGATCATCAGAGGCTTTTTTTTTTTAACTTTTAAAAGCATTTTTTCGGCTGAAGAGGTTGTAGAAAAAATGCTTTTAAATGTAAAAAAAGAGCCTCTGATGATTGTGCAGCTCAGCTGGGCATGGGGGGTGGGGGTGGGGGTAGGGATTTTTGCTACTGGTTCTCCGAACCACCCGCCTCCATCGCTACTGGATCGGGCGATCCGGTCCGAACCGGGAGCATTTCACCCCTGGGCAAAACTCACTTAACAACTCTCTTCCTTAGTAGGGGAAATCTGGGGCTCATTTGTGGTTGTAAGTCGAGGACTACCTGTGGTGTTTCTCTCCTTTCTGGACCCTACCAGCTCCAACTCTCCAGTTGATCTTCTTTCCCTTTCTCCTTGTAGGAAGCTCTATCACGATTCCACTACAAAGATCCACATCAATCTCCTGGGCGCCCTTTTCTTTCTCAACGTGTCATTCTTGAGCAGCAAGACTTTGGTTGACCATCTGTGGTGGTGCAGCATCTTGGCTGCCTTCCTCCACTACTCCTTGCTCTGCAGTTTGACTGGATGGGCATCGAGGGCTTCCACCTCTACCTGCTGGTGATCAAAGTCTACAACTCCTACATGAGGCGTTACCTGCTCAAGCTGTGTGCTGTGGGGTGGGGTAAGGATTTGTACGCTGCCCATATTGGAAAAACACATCATCGTGAAGTCACCTTCTGAATTCCTTTGTCTCTTCCTTGCTTTCCAAAACAAGAAATGCAGCTTGTGCATCCGGTTGAAAAATTAGTTGCACAGAGCTTCTCCAGTGGGAGAAAGAAGTCATATCTGAGTAGTAGAAAGTTCTATTCTTCTGTTCTATTCTATTCTATTCTGCATTCTATTCTGTTCTACTCTACTCTGCATTCTATTCTGTTCTGTTCTGTTCTATTCTATTCTATTCTATTCTATTCTATTCTACTCTACTCTACTCTACTCTACTCTACTCTACTCTACTCTACTCTACTCTACTCTACTCTGCATTCTGTTCTATTCTATTCTATTCTATTCTATTCTATTCTATTCTATTCTATTCTATTTCTATTCTATTCTGCATTCTCTTCTACTCTGCATTCTGTTCTGTTTCTGTTCTATTCTATTCTATTCTATTCTATTCTATTCTATTCTATTCTACTCTACTCTACTCTACTCTACTCTCTATTCTATTCTATTCTATTCTATTTCTATTCTATTCTATTCTATTCTATTCTATTCTATTCTATTCTTGTTCTCCACAGCCGAGATCTCCAAGCTTAGCAATTTTAAGACTTGTGGACTTAAACTCCCAGAATTTCTGGGAAAATTCCTGTTCTAAAATACAGGTAGTCCTTGACTTGCAATAGTTCATTTAGTGACCATTCAGAGTTACAACAGCAATGAAAAAATTTTGACTGTTCTTCACACTTTCAACCATTGTAGCATCCTGAGGTCATGTGATCAAAATTTGGACACTTGGCAACTGGTTCGTATTTATGACTGTTGCCGTTTCCCAGGGTCTTGTGATCCCCTTTTGTAACCTTCAGATGAACAAAGTCAACGGGGAAGCCAGATTCCCTTAACAACCGTGTTGCTAACTTAACCCCTACAGTGATTCACAGTTCACAACTGTGGCCAGAAAAATCGTAAAATGGGGCAAAACTCATTTAACAAATGTCTCACTTTACAACAGAAATGTTGGGCTCACAAAAATAGCCCGATCTGCTGGAAGTGTAAGAAGACACAAGGAACCTTCTATCACTTATGGTGGACATGCCCGGCAGCAAAGAAATTTTGGTCTAATATTAAAAAATGGTTGGAACAAATAACAGAAACACAGATAGATAAAGAACCAGAAACATTTTTATTAGGAATTTTTAATAAATCATACCCTAAAGATATCAAATACCTTACAATTCACATACTAACAGCTGCAAGAATAATCTATGCAAAAAATTGGAAGCAAGAAAGAACGCCAAACGAAACAGAATTAATAGAAAAAATTCTAGAATGCGCTGAAATGGATAGGTTAACCAAAGAAATACAAGAAAGAGAAGAATCAGACTATTACAAAGTATGGAACAATTGGTATAATTGGTTAAAAACTAGAAACAAACAAAAAATATAGGGGGAAATATTACCGGTATAAAAAATGTTATTAGATTAAGGAGAGGTGAAGAAACGTATTATAAGCAGAGTGTCACTTTGAAATAATGCTTAAGAAGGAAACATAATCCTTTTCTTTTTGTTTATATGTTGTATAAATGTTTGTTGTGTGTATGTTATGTTATGTTTTTTTTTAATATTTATACTCTAATACAAATTTATTTTTTTTAAAAAAAAGAAACGTTGGGCTCAATTGTGGTCGTACTTGATTTCCAATTCTGTCAAGTTTAAGATTTGTGGATTTCAACTCCCAGAATTCCCTGGCCAACAAGCCTTCAGTCGTCAGTCTTCCCTCCCCTCCCCATCTCACCCAAAATTAAATGCTACATCAGGTTAGTCACTCCATTACATCTGATGATGGACTGTAGCGAATAAAAGTTAATAATAACAACAAAATAACAGACTTGGAAGGGATCTTGTAGGTCATCTAGTCCACCCCCCCAACTAAGCAGGAGACCCTACACTATTTCTGACAGAGGGCAGTTCAGTCTCTTCTTGGAAGCCTCCAGGGATGAAGCTCCCACAACTTCCGAAGGCCACTTCTGTTCCATGGGTTGATTGTTCTCACTGTCAGAAAATTTCTCCTTATTTCCAGGTTGAATCTCTCCTTTTTCAGTTTCCATCCATTATTCCTTGTCTGGCCTTGGGTGCTTTGGAAAACAGGTTGACTTCCTCTTCTCTGTGGCAGCCCCTCAAATATTGGAAGGCTGCTATCCTGTCTCCCCTGGTGCTTCTCTTCCCTAGACTAGCCAAGCCCAGTTCCTGCAACCGTTCATCCTATGTTTTAGCCTCCAGGCCTTTGATCATTTTAGATAGATTCAGATTAACAAAGTTGGAAGGGACCTTGTAGGTCATCTAGTCCAACCCCTAGTCCATTCAGGGGACCCTACACCATTTCTGACAGATGGCAGTCCTGTCTCTTCTTGAAAGCTTCCAGTGATGAAGCTCCCACAACTTCCGAAGGCCACTTCTGTTCCATGGGTTGATGGTTCTCACTGTCAGAAAATTTCTCCTTATTTCCAGGTTGAATCTCTCCTTTTTCAGTTTCCATCCATTATTCCTTGTCTGACCTTCGGTGCTTTGGAAAACAGGTTGACTTCCTCTTCTCTGTGGCAGCCCCTCAAATATTGGAAGGCTGCTATCCTGTCTCCCCTGGTCCTTCTCTTCACTAGACTAGCCCTGCCCAGTTCCTGCAACCGTTCATCGTATGTTTTAGTCTCCAGGCCTTTGATCATTTTAGATAGATTCAGATTAACAAAGTTGGAAGGGACCTTGTAGGTCATCTAGTCCAACCCCCCGCCCAAGCAGGAGACCCTACACCATTTTGACAGATGGCAGTCCTGTCTCTTCTTGAAAGCTTCCAGCGATGAAGCTCCCACAACTTCCGAAGGCAACTTCTGTTCCTTGGGTTGATTGTTCTCACTGTCAGAAAGTTCCTCCTTATTTCCAGGTTGAATCTCTCCTTGGTCAGTTTCCATCCATGATTCCTTGTCCGGCCTTCAGGTGCTTGTAAATCGAGGCCTGCCTGTATATGCCTGCTAAAGTCTTATTTCGGAGTCCATCACTGTGTCTTCTCTCATTCTGCAGGGATCCCTGGAGTCCTCGTTCTGGCCAGCTTCCTCAGCATGCAGGATCTTTATGGCCAGCATGGCATCAAAACCGACTCTCAATACAAGAACTTTTCCATGTGAGTAGCAGCTATGTAGTTTTAATTCCTATATATTATACAGATAGGCCTTGACTTGCAAGATTTGTTTAGTGGCCGCTTGAAGTAACAACAGCATTGAAAAAAGCAACTTCAATAAGAAGAGAAGAGAAGAGAAGAGAAGAGAAGAGAAGAGAAGAGCTGAGTTGGAAGGGACCTTGGAGGTCTTCTAGTCTAACCTCCTGCTTAGGAAGGAAACCCTACATTACTTCAGAATAGAATGGAATGGAATGGAATGGAATGGAATAGAATAGAATAGAATAGAATAGAATAGAATAGAATAGAATAGAATGGAATGGAATGGAATGGAATGGAATGGAATGGAATAGAATAGAATAGAATAGAATAGAATAGAATAGAATAGAATAGAATAGAATAGAATAGAATAGATGGAAGCAATGGGTGGTTAATGCAGAAAGCAGATTGAAAATGTTGTGTGACTTTGTGTCATGCCCTCCTCTGAGCCTGGGTCTGCGGGGAAAGACCAGCTGGAACCTGAGCCGACAGAGATTGAGGGGGTGGCTTTGTTGTCTTCGGAAGGAAATGGGGAAGGCCAGGGACTTTCAGGATTAGGATAGCTTGTAGACAGGGAGAAACAGAGGCAGGATGAACATGAGAGACAGAGCTCAGGTGAGGATCACCTCCTCCTGATCCAAGGGCTCGGAGAGTGGAGAGAAGATGTGAACAGCGCAGACTGAGCAGGCTTCTGGGGGGGGGGGAAGAGTGCCCCGCCCATCTTCACAAGGCACACTGGGGGAATGAGGCTTAAGGAGACGCTGTGGGGAGGGGCATTTGTCAGGAACAAATGCTGAGTTCCCGAAGTGTTGTGTGCCGACGTTTGAACTTTCCAAGAGTCCTTGCATTTCTTCTGGTGTTCTGGACTAATTACCTGGATCTTTTGCTTCCTGAACGCCTTGATTTGCCAAATAAATTTGGATTTATTGCCGTGCAGCCTTGGTGCAGACAGTGCCGGGCTAGTCTAATTGCAGCCAGAGGCTGCTTGAGGTCTGTGTCGGGGTTTTTTATTACTCTGCTCTGGGACTTGCCAGAAACGTGGGAGCGTTTGGGGAAATTTGGAGCAATAAAAGGGCGGTTTGAACCGCCAGTTGTTTATCTCTGTGCCATGCCCTGGACCATCACACCTTGGCTTCTGATGGATTGACACCAGACTTTTCTTGGACTCTCTTGGAATCATAAAGAAGCCTCTGATCTTTGGGTTTTCTTCTCCTTCAGATGCTGGATCACCTCCTCCATCTTGAACAATATCACCTTTGTTTATGTTGGTGGCACTATATTCTTCAACATAGTTATCTTGGTGATGGTGGTGCAGAAGCTTAGACAGCTCAGAGCTCACCCTCTTCATCGGCCTAAGGAACACACCTGCAAAGACGTGGGAACCGTTCTTGGGATGACCTTCCTCCTGGGGACCACCTGGATGTTGGCCTTCGTGTCCTTTGGGGTCTTCTTAGTTCCACAGATCTTCCTCTTTTCAATCTTCAATGCCCTCCAAGGTTTGTAAGACGGCTGAGACCCTACACTTCCTCACCCGGGAATGGGACAACTTGCCATGGCCAACTTGTTGCAGCCAATTCATCATGGCTAACTCACCATGGCCAACTCACCATGGCCAACTAGCCATGGCCAACTCACCATGGCCAACTAGCCATGGCCAACTCACTACAGCCAACTTGTCATGGCCAACTCGCTGCAGCCAACTCACCATTGCTAACTAGTCATGGTCAACTTGCTGCAGTCAACTCATGGTCAATTTGCTGCAGCCAAATCACCATGGCCAACTAGCTATGGTCAACTCACTGCAGCCAACTCATCATGGCCAACTAGCCATGGTCAACTCGCTGCAGCCAACTCATCATGGCCAACTCACTGCAGGAAAATTTAACAGTTCTATTTAATTATTTAAAATAAATTAAAAAAACGTTTTTTGCCATTCACATTTCATTCTGTCCCTCCTTCTGCATCCTTTCCTTAATTATCCTATTCCACCATTTCTTTGGTATTAGTGTCACTCTTGTCCAGACGTGAGTGGTCCTGCAGCGAGAAGGCCGTGGCAAGTTGGCCGTGTCGAATTATCATAGACCCCCCCTCCTACTCCACCCAGTATGCAAATATTCTGCTTCCCTTTTTTTTCTTCTCTTCTCATGCAGGAGCCTTCATCTGTCTTTGGTATTGCTTTTTACGGTGTCGTTCAACATCCAAAGAGTCATCTGGATTCTCTCAGTCATCAGCAACATCACGCGGTTTGTGAAGACTTTGGACCAGGGGTTTCCAATCTTGGCCACTTTAAGACTTGTGGACTTCAACTCCCAGAATTCCTCAGGCTGAGGAATTCTGGGAGTTGAAGTCCACAAGTCTTAAAGTGGCCAAGATTGGAGACCCCTGCTCTGGACCAATGAAACACCCAGGTTCCAAAAATGACATCTGGGCACTGCATCCCCATATCATGCATTGGGGACATTCTGTGTTCCCCCCTAAGTTGGGCTTGGAAGGAAGGATGGTTTGTCTTCATGGGAGTAGATAGAACAAGGAAGTCATGTTCAAGGACAGATCCCTATACAGGTAGACCTTGACTTAACAATCATTCATTTAGTCACCTTTCCAAGTTATGACAACATTGGGGAAAAAAGACTTATGACCGTTTTTCACACTTACGACCGTTGCAACATCCCCATGGTCACCTGATCAAAATTCACTTGCTTGGCAACTGACTCATATTTATGACGGTGGCAGTGTCCCAGCTGAGATCATGCAATCCCCTCGAGCGACCTTTTGACAAGCAAAGTCAACGGGGAAGCCAGATTCACTTAACAACCGTGTGACTAACAACGGCAGGGATTCACTTAACAACGATGGCAAGGAAAGTCCTAAAGTGGGGCAAAACTCAATTGTTTCGCTTAGCATGGAAATTTTGGGCTCAACGCTGGGCATCAGTCGGGGATTACCTGTAAACAGATATTGAAGGAAGAGCTTTGAAGCATCAGGCATAACTCCTGCTTGGTTCTCCTGCTTCAACAAGGGGCTGGACTAGAAGACCTCCAAGGTCCCTTCCAGCTCTATTCTATTCTAATTTAATAACTAATACTGAGGGTTTTATTTTATTTATTTATTAAATCTATACACCTCCCATCTCTCTCACAGCCAGGAGTGGGTTCTAAATTTTTTTACTACCGGTTCTGTGGGCGCGGCTTATTTTGTGGGCGTGGTTTGATGGTCATGTGACAAGCAATTCTTTAGGATTTAGCAGAGGTACTGGTCTACCAGGCTTTTAACTGCTTGCAGAGCCGTTCCGGTCTACCCATTTGTTTTTGGAGCGCATTGGTCTACCACCACACTGCCTTTTACCGCTGATCAGCTGTAGGGCAGCCCTTTGAAGCGCCACGGAAAGAGTTTAAACAGTTTTTTGCCGCTCTGCCACCACCGAGAGCATCAGAAACTGCTTTGAGGCAGCATGGCCTCAATTACCAATCTACCACCACCGACCAGTTTACAAGGAGGCTTCTTGGCTTCTCAATTTAAAGCTACAGTGTCTTGGTTTTTTTTTCCCTCTTCTTTGTCAAGTGAGCCCTGATTTTTTCCTTCTAGCTGATGAGCTGGGACTCGGGAGGCAGCAAATAGATTGGGGGCGGGGCCAGGCAGAGGTGGTATTTACTGGTTCTCCGAATGACTCAAAATTTCCTCTACCGGTTCGCAAGAACCGGGGAGAATCGGTAGCAACCCACCACTGCTCACAGCCCTTGCATCAACAGTGAGGCAGAATCAGATTCGTGGCTTCTGTGTCTGTTCCCAACCACAGTCTTTAGAGGCCCAGCTAGCGTGAGCTCAGCTGCCATAGGATAAACCAGAAAAGCAGATGAGAAATGCTAGATTGCTTTTTTTTCTCCCTTTTGCAATGGATATGCCAGCCATTTCCACAAATGCAAAGTTTCTCTGCATTTGCACAAGTCATTTTTGTTTCCATTTCTCTTACGGTTAACACAGAAAAACTGTTGCTATGCAAGACTGATTTGTTACCAACATATTTTTCATCCCTGGAAATTTTTGTAATGCCTCTTCTTTCTTCTTTATCTCATCTAGAGTCACTTCTGTTTTCTTTTGCTTCTGCTTTTTACGTTTGCTACGATGTTAAATAAAAGGTCCTCTCATTTTACCCACATTATCCTAACATCTGTACCTTTATTGTGTTTATTATATTATCTTTATTTTAAGAGTATTCTCAACAAATTCTTCCCACTTTTTAAATAGTCCTCTAATGTTATTTCATTTTGTAGAATAATGTCTCATTCATCTCCCCTCCGAAGGAACTGATTTTCCTTTTCAAGGTTAGAGTCACCATAAAGTATTGCGATCTGAAAAAGCCTTTGGCAATATTTCCTTTGTTGACACAATAGCTAAATTTATAAAAATGCAGAACATAGAAATATGAGTTACAATCACAATTGACCCTGGCCATAAAGTAACTCACACCCTGTGACTGGACTCAATTTTACAACTTTTTTCATGACGTTATTAAGCAAATCCACCATTCCCGATTCAGAGGGTTTTGCCAGAAGTCGGAAGTCAATGCCACTTCCTGGCAAAACCATCAGAAATTGCAGTCCCGTGACCATGGGGCCTGGCATGAATTTACATGCTAGTGGCTGAGTGCCGCTTTTTATATCCACCCCAAACCAGCCCAGTGATGCCCTCGACGTGATGTCCCGTTGCCTGGAAGTGGTACAGACCTGGTTGGGGAGGAATAGGCTTCGACTCAACCCTGCCAAGACCGAGTGGCTGTGGGTACCGGCATCTTGTTCCGATCGAGATGTTCCATTGTTGACCATCGGGGGTGAGGTGTTACCCCCTGTGGATAGGGCCCGCAACTTGGGTGTCCTCCTGGATTCACGGTTGTCTCTGGAAGATCATGTGACGACCGTGACCGGGGGGGCATTTGCCCAGGTTTGCCTTGTGCGACAGTTGCGCCCTTACTTGGACCAAGATGCCCTACGCACCGTTACTCATGCACTGGTCACCTCCTGTCTTGACTACTGCAACGCTCTCTACCTAGGGCTGCCTTTGAAAACCACTCGAAGGCTTCAGGTGGTGCAGAATGCGGCCACGCGGGTTTTGATGGGAGCGTCCTTTACACCCCTCCTGCGCGGCTTGCGTTGGTTACCGGTTGCCCTTCGGGTGAGGTTCAACGTGCTGGTTATCACCTATAAAGCCCTTCATGGCCTAGGCCCGGGATATCTGTCGGACCCCCTGCAGCCAGCGACAATCCCCAATCGCCCGGTGCGTTCCCACAGACAGGGCTTCCTCAGGGTACTGTCGGCCAGACAGTGTCAGCTGGCGACCCCCAGGAGGAGAGTTTTCTCTGTGGGCGCACCCATCCTCTGGAACCAACTTCCATTGGAGCTCCGGATGGCCCCTGACCTTCGCTCGTTCTGCCGCGAGTTGAAGACCTGGTTGTTCCGTAGCCTGGACTGATGGGGAGTTTTTAATGAATTTTAAACTGTTTTAAATTGGATTTTAATTTTATATTGTTTTAATAAGGATTTATGCATTTTACCGTTGTGAGCCGCCCTAAGTCCTCGGAGATAGGGCGGCATATAAATTGCATAAAATAAATAAATAAATTATGTGACTAAGCTGTGTGTGTTTGGGGAGGGGTGTTGACATCACAAGTTGGAAACTTGGAAAGGGGCAGGGTCCAGTGGTGAAATGTAAAATTTGTTACTACCGGTTCTGTGGGCGTGGCTTGGTGTGGGGGGTTAATGTGACTGGGTGGGCGTGGCCAATCTTTTTTTTTTTACTTTTAAAACCATTTTTTCTACAACCTCTTCAAGAAAAATGCTTTTAAAAGCTTCCGACTATCCCAGCTGAGCTGCGCGATCATCAGAGGCTTTTTTTAAAAAAAAATTTAAAAGCATTTTTTCGGCTGAAGAGTTTGTAGAAAAAATGCTTTTAAAAATAAAAAAAAAAGCCTCTGATGATTGCGCAGCTCAACTGGGCATGGAGGGGGGCAGGGATTTTTGCTACCAGTTCTCCAAACCACCCACCGCCATCACTACCTGATCGGGCAAGCCGGTCTGAACCGGGAGCATTTCACCCCTGGTGGGGTCCCTTGTAACTTCCAATGGTCTCTACGTGACTGGTTGTAAGTTGTACCTGTATCAACTTTTTTAGAAAAGATCTGTATCGCAGGATCCAATCTAGGTCAGTCACCAGGACCAGAAGTTTAGCCTTCTGAGCTTTCAGTCTCATGCTGGAGCCAGTGGTGGGTTTTCAATTTTTTTACTACTGGTTCTGTGGGGTGTGGCTTGGTGGGCGTGGCATTGCTTGGTGAGCGTGGCTTGGTGGGCGTGGCAGGGGAAAGATACTGCAAAATCCCCATTTCCTCCCAATCAGCTGGGACTTGGAAGGCAGAGAATAGATTGGGGCAGGACCAGTCAGAATTTTTACTACCGGTTCTCCGAACTACTCAGAATTTCTGCTACCAGTTCTCCAGAACTGGTCAGAACCTGCTGAAACCCACCTCTGGCTGGAGCCCATCCTCAGGGAACTTCTCTCTCTCCACAATGTATCTGGGGATGGGCTCCAGCACAAATTCCAAAGCTATTCTATTCTGTTCTCTTCTGTTGTGGCCCGCCAGGGGCTTGCACAGATCATGGCTGATCCCGACGACGAGGAGGCTGGTGTGGTGTCGCGCCAGCAGCCTGCGCAGCCGGTGCTCGTGTCGGACAGTGAGGAGGCTGAAGAGGATGAGGTGCCAGAGGCAGAGACTCAGCCAGGGCCTTCAGAACCTCCAGAGGCTCCTTCCAGTGGAGAGAGCGAAGTGGAGGAGCCTCTCCTCAATGCTCGAGCACGAAGGGCTGCCAAAAGGCAGGAGTGGCTACTCAGGAGGAGGAGGTCTACTCGAGAGTAGGGCTTGAGGATAATTGGCCACTCCCTTAGCCTATTTAAGTCACACACCGTTAGTAAGTTTCTTGCTAGAAACAACTTGTAATTATCATCAGAGCATTTTTGGAAAAGTCTTATTTTGTTTTCTGGGCTGGTTGCCAACCTTTGCAGGACTTTGGTTTATTCTTGCTACTTAATAAATTTGATAAGGACCCTTGATGTGTGTCAATATCCTCGGGAATCCAGAGCTGGGGCAGAACAATGCCATGCCATGCCATTCCATTCTCTGGTTCTGGTGAACAACCCAGATTGGATCCTGCAACATTATTGTGGGACACATATATTTGCCTTCATTCCTACGACCTGTATCTGTCAGACAAATAAATATCTTCTTTCAAATTCCCATTTTCATGTCAATATTT